TATCATCCTCACAGATTGAGTCAATTTTCCCTGAGAATATTACTAGTAACTTTCAAATTGCTCATAAAACCCCATGTTTCCACGTAAAAGCCCATCAGAATATTTAATGGCTAATCTACCACCAGAACACACTCAGCATCTGCCATAATAAGTGAGTTATTACTCAAAAGTGGGGATTCTAGGGAACTCCGCAGAATCTCAAATCTGCATGGCCTTGCCATCTTCATCCTCTGGTATCCTTCCTCTCTTACTTGTGAGTGTTGACTACAAACTAAGGCAATGAAAGAGTCATTTGTTTCACTCTGCTTAAAACCAGAATTTCTAGACCCATTGGAGAAGCTGTCTCTTCTCATCAGAAAGGATTCTAGGTTTATCAGCAATTATCCCTAGACTAGAAGTCCTAGTAAGAGGTGTTTCACTTAGTCACTCCTTCCCCACACAGGAATCTTGTTTCCCAGTAAAATAAAAATATAATTATATCTGTGATTGTGTAAGATCTTCTTGAATCTTTTTGTTCTACCATGAAAGTGTGAGTTCTTTAAGTTAAAGAGGAGCAGAGATCATTCAAAACCTCTCATCAATGTCCAAACAAAAGTAAATATCTAACAGTGGATCTGTTATTTTATTCTTTTCTTTTTCTTTCTTTTCTTTTTTTTGGCAGTTCTGGGGCTTACAAGGCAGGTGCTCCACAACTTGAGTCACACGCACAGCTCTTTGCAGTGGATCATATGATGCACTGACTCTCCACTGGCTTTCATCCATCAAGTAACAAGCAAAGAGTTGTTCCAGTTTTAGTATTCAATTCCTGAATTATTTTGCTTTAAACATATTAAATCCCTAAGTTAACGGTATGGTAGGGAACTTCCCCACCAATCTCCTTTTGCAATCCACACTCGAGCCTCCACATATAACACACTCTCTACAATACACTTTTCTCCTCTTCTTCCTCCTCCTCTCTCTCTCTCTCTCTCTCATTCTAACTATTGCTTTGAGTATAGCTTTTTTTGGTGTCTATGTGATGAACCATTTTGAAAGGCTTTATCTAGGATGATGGTCCTCAAATCCATCCAAATTCTCTTCTGTCCTATTCTCCTTTCTTATCATTTTGTTTGCCCTGGTCTTTATGAGATTTATCACAATATCACAAAGATACCATAATCCTGAGAAGAAAGAGAGAACTTACCAGCTATAATTCCCAGCACATTCCCATGCATAGCCATATTACTATCATAAAACTTCCTTTGTTGTGATGGACTCTGAAACCTGGGTACTGTCCTCAAGCCTTAGGACAACAAATTGCAATAAGTAGAAGACTTGACTGCAAACTGAAAATTCTATAGTTTCTGCTCAAAAAATGTCTCCAATTTTTCTACACATAACCACTTCTTCACAGAATTCCATTATATGCTTCAGATATTGCTAAACCTCAACGAACAGGAAGCAAAAAGAAGCTATGATAAGAAAAAAAAAGAAATGAAAAATGAGAGAAAAGTTATAAAGAGTCAGTAATAATCAATGGATAAAATTTTAAATGAAGAAAAACTTAAAAGCAAAACCATTGTAGAAGGCTAACCTTATTACTTGGAAGTGGTTAATCCTACATTATGAATTAGTAAGAGGGTGTCTGCTTAAAAAAAAAAAAGAAAATAGACAAAAAATAAATGTAAGTAAAAAATGAAGAGAAGGCAAATTCTAGAAATACAAAAAAAGAGACAAATGTCAAATAGCTTTTAGAAGTCTTGAAGTCAAAAGCAGAAAAATATTAGGGGGAAGGTTTGGGAGAAAGTTTGGACAAATGTAAGAAATTTGTACTTTCTAACAAATCAAATACACTTTATGAATTTAACAACATAAAAATGTAACCTAAATAACTTTATTTAATCATCAAAACAATCATGTTTAGCACATGAAATACATACTTGTCTCAGGTTAATGCGATTTTAAAAAACTAAATCAGCTACTAACTGTGGACATTATTGCCTGTTTATGGAAAACATCATGAAACAGCAAAGCACAAAAAGCCATACATTTCATCATATAACAAATGATGCTAACTGCCTTCATCTAGTAAATACAGAAATACCTTTTCAAAGTAAAAAAACAAAGCAAAAAAAAAAAAAAAGACTCACTGGATATAACTCTTGCCTCGTTTGTCTAATTGGCAAACATCAATGTTAAGCACTGAGTAGTTATACTGGCTTAATGGATTGGTCATTTCTGTTCTCTGAACCCTAAGTTTCATCACTAAAATGAAGGATTGAACTAGAATGCTTTTTCTTTCTAAAATTCTCAAGTCACTTTGTAATAGATACTGTGGTTCTCCACTCAAACAGCTTCCTCCCAAAGTCCTTTGGGAATGAAACATTGCTTCCTCCTGGTGCTGGGACTATTGGTGAGAGCTGCATCCCTGTCCAGGAATTGGCCTTGACCAAAGAGATCCACCCATATCAAGGTTACCACCCATTCTTAGGAACAGCTTGTATCCAAGAACTGGTCCATTAAGAAACATAAAGGCTGGACCTTTTACCTCAGTTCAGAACATCGCTCCATGGTCGCCCCAGCCCTTGGAATCAGCAGAGGTCTTCTGGAAACAGCATCACAATTCAACTTCTCCCTCTGCCCAGTCCTGTTTTCTGCATTCCCTAACAGATGTCAAACCAGAAATCATGCCCTGATAAACTCCATGCTCCAATATATCCCCATTTCAGGGGTTGCTTTTTCACAAACTCAAAAGGGAACAGGCACCTAATCCCTCTTCTGTGAAAGTAGCAGTGCCTCCTGGAGGCAGAAATGTTTTATTCTGGAATTTATACTAGGGTTCTTGTTCTCAGCAATCAGGAATTGCGAAACTGACAGACACTATGGTCCAATAATTTCTCTTACAAAACATGCTAAAACATTGTAAAATTATTTCAGAGGAATAAAAGTTATATAGGAGTATAAAAACATTGCATATTAAGATTGTTATAATCTTATTTTTCAAGAAAAAACAAATAGTGGCCTCTTTTTAAATCTTTGCTTCTCTAAGAAAAATGAGGCTTACTACTAATAACTGAAAAACAGAGAGGACTATAAAGATAGGAAGAAACTAAAGAAAACAGCATCAGAGAGCAAAAGAAAAATATTACTAACAATAAGAAAATTGGTAAAAAATATTTTTAAGGAGAAAAATTGAAAAGTAAAATAAAGTGGAAGAAAGTACTATTGTATTTTTAAAACTATCAGAATTTGTGAGAAAGAAAATTAAAACATGCATAAAAAGTACCATCACTTGTAATACTTAAGTCTCATTAAACTAACCTAAGTTTTTATGTTCTTTCTTGTTTTAGATAAATCATTTTATTTAAATTTTTTGAGAACTGGTTATTTTTTTTTTCTCTTCCTGCTTCTTTTTTCTAGCCTCTCAATTGTTTTTCTACCTAACCTGTAAAGATGTCTACACATCCAATATATTTCTAGTGAGATGAGCCAAGAGGCTTCCCTCTTATTGGGATACATCTTCTGTTCAACTTTACAGGTTACTTTTTGTCTCCTTCTCCTGTAAGTCCATTGCTTCTGAATTATTCAATCAAAATCAGAGAAAGCTCATTCAGAAATTTACCTTGAAAATGTAATTAGCAAACAGACACATGTTCTGTAGCATAAATTCAATGACCACCTCCCTAATTCAAAAATGAATTGTCTCCCAAGTAAATGTAGATGTTTAAGAGATGTTTCCAGCTTGATAAGAACACCAGCTGACTTAGCAGCCATGGAATGGTTCTATATTTGATCCCTGTCAAGATAACAGAGGGTCTTATTTTCTGTCCCTTGTTTTGGTCCTTCTAAGTAGGTACTGTTTTCTGTTTACTTATCCCCTAGCTTTAAGCCCTGGAACAATGTTGAACATAGTGTCAATTGGCCCTGGTGCCAGACAGGATCAGAGGCTCTCTAATATTTACAGTTTCCCTTCTTCTGCTTCCATAAATGAAATGGACAGTCTGAATGGAGAAAATCAAGGGCCAGCTGGCTAAAACCACAACTGGCAGCAAAGCACTTGGGCCCCTTCCAAAAGCTGGTGTTTAAAGAGAGACCATTTACAGAGCAAATTCCAACCACCACAATAAGGGTTTGGGACACTCACTAGCTATAGTATAAAGCATACAACTTTACTCAAAATGATTTTCATTTCCAAAGTTTGGAACCTGCCTCCTTCTTTTTAAAGAAATTTTCTAGGTTTCAAGTAAGTGCCTTCAAATAACCAGTCCTTCACACCCATAATAATGACAAATACATACTGAATATTTAGAGAATGTCAAACAGATTTTGTGCCATGGTGACCAAAGTCTTATTTTTGCTTAAAGTTCATTCATACAAAAATGAGAAAATTGTTAAGAAACTGAGAAACACTGAGAAACAAGAAATGACCAAAGAATTTAGATGGAATAGCTTGGAAGACAGCCAGACACTTACTTTAACCTCTTAATAACTTAAGAGGTTATTAATATATCATGAAGGCAACTGATAAAGATTTCCTTCTTAAAAAAAAATAAAATGTCACTCTGACTTTGGTATTTAAGAAAATATGTAATAGTCTTCCTGGGAGAAAAATCATATTGAAGTACTAAAAATGTAGTAAATGCATGCTAATGACTTCCTTCCCCCTCAACCCCCGCTAGTCTCTAGTAAAGATAAGCATGGGCTGGCTACTATTTAATGAACTTTCTGATAGGTGCCAAATAAGAAATATACCTAACACTGTATTCAGATAGATGGATTTATAATGATAACATTTCTATACATTATAATATCGTCATTTTTTCACATTCCAGGATGACTTTGAAGGTGATTTAGCAAAGCTGCCTGTTTTTATGCATACATATATGTGCATAAATGATTAGAAAGAGAAATGGAGGAGGGAATTCAAAGAAAATGCAGAGGGTCCAATCAGGTAGGTTCTTGAATGCTATAATCCTGGAAGCGGATAAAACCAGTAGTTTGAGAACCCCCCTAGAAGGTACCTCGATATAGGGCACAATCTTGCAGGAGAAGTCCTCCAGCAGCCACTTTTTGGTCAGCTCGTGGAAGATGACGAGGGGAAGGCAGAAGAAGATGATGAGAAAGTCCCAGAAGGCCAGGTTAGCCAAAAGAGAATTAGAGATGCTCCGCATGTAATAGTTGTGACACACGATGCACATCACTGCCAAATTGCCAATGATGCCGGTCCCAAAGATCACCACCGACAAACACATGACAGCGTAGGCTCCGTAGGATTCCTGGGTTAGCGGATAGAAGGGGTTCTTCAGTCTCAAGCGTCTGTTTGTGCTGTTACCCCGGCGGGGACCCCCGCGTTCATGGACCCCGTCACCCAAGGACCCATTTTGGGGTAGAGCCCTACCGGGGGGCGCAACTGTCCTCCCTTCGTGCCCCGCTTGTCCACTGGATGGGGGCTTGCGGTGCGAACCCTGCAGTTTCTCTGCTCTCCTTGGCCAGTAAAAAAGATCTCTGGCTCCGGGTTCCGTTTTCACACCCTGCTCCTGGCTGCGCAAGGAAATCTTAGCGCCCCTAGGACTCTTCTCTTTCTCCTCAGAGGTCTGAAGAAAGACATGGAGGTTTCTGGGGCCCCCTCTACCCAAATTTCCAGAGGGCTCCAGATCGCCGACATCTTTCCGTCTCCAGGCGCCAGGCGACCTGGTTGGAGGTCCCCAGGGTGCGGAGTCGGACGCCTCCGCCCCTCTGCCCGCACCTGGGTCAACGCCCTCGGTTACAGGTAGGTCCCAGGAGGGCGCCGCTCGCCCTGCTACCTGCAGCTCCTCCTTGGGCGCATGGACTCGCAGAACGTCTCTTGCTGAATTTCCTAGTACCCGTGCATCCCTGCTGCGGCGCTGGACCAGTGGTGAACAGCTCTGCCCCAGACAAGTTTCGTTCCTGGGTGCCGTGGCAAACCCGAGGACAGAAGAGAGTGAAACCTTCAGCAGTAGCAGAAGCAGCAGCCGCGAAGTGCCAGCAAGAGGCGCGCCCCGGGCCCTCATGGCTTAGCGAGGGCTCACCCGGCAGCCTGGCTCTTGCTTAGGACCGACACCTGCTGCCTAACTTGCTGCTGAGAGTTAGACACATGTCACATACTTACCCCGCCACGGAAGCGGGGACAGTGAGGGATCTTAAACACACCCTTACAATCCTTTCTCGATTGGTATCCTGTGCATTTCTCAGCCAAATCCAGTCCAAGTTCTGTGGACCCTAAGGTTCTGAGAGGGAGTAGCTGCTCCGGTGACTGACCTTGAAAAGTTGCAAACACCTGATTGTTGATTAATGTTGCGACCGGACGAAGCCCCACGCTCCTCCCTGCCTTTGGGTGGTGGTTGCCTTCTTGTTAACAGTTGCTCTTCTTATTCACATCCTTTCGATACTGCTTTATCCAGTAGCAAGCTGAGGTCTCTAGAGAGAAACAAAAACAAGTCCACCTCCCCCTGGATGACTGGCAATCACAGTCCCACTCCTGGCTCGCTGAAAACAGGTTGCAAACAGACGCAAGGCTGATGTATCGGGGAGACTTGCTCCCCCCACCCCAACCCCAGCGACTTTCGAGGCTACTGTTGACAAGAAGCAGCCAGATTCGCAACCCTTGGCCACAAAGTTGCTGCTCCTCCAGCTCAAAGTTGACAAGGGGACGACTGCTGGGCGACGTGCCCCTGCGCAGAAGGGAATGGGGGAAGAGGGCGAAGAGGGAGTTGCTCGTTTGCGCACAGTGCCGCCGGCCGCAAGTGCTTGTCACTGCCACAGCAGGCGCAGCTCTGCCGGAGAGCGTGGTGCCTGGAACCGCCGCCCGCTGGGCGAGGCGGTGCGTGGCCGGAAAGGGGGAGGTGGCCCGGCCTCTCCCAGCCGCTCCAGCCGCTGCGCGGGCCCACGAGACCAACTCTCCTCTCCGCTCCTCCTCTCTTCCACCTCCTCCCGGGAGAGATTCTGGTTTGTGGGGAGACGGGATCCCCTGGTGGTTCACCATACACCAAACCTACACACGTTTCATTCAAGCCATTTGTAGCAGCTTTCACTCTTTGGAGCTGGGAGCGGAGGCGGAGCAGCCAGCGCGCTGCTGGATGATCTCGACGGGTTAATTTCCCAGATATCAGAACAAGCCTGACTGGATTTCGAATCCGGGTTCGGGGTGAGGGCTGAAGGGGAGATGGGAGGAGTGGAACAAGTCAAGGGTGGAAGGAGTGAAACCAGCGTGGTGATAGCTAGCTCCAATCTGAAGTGGCCAACGCGCATGCCCAGGTTTCAGACCCTGAGGGAGTTGTAAGGTCGTGAGGAGTTTACCTGTTAGCTGCTCCCAAGAGCTGGCACAAGAGAGAAAGGGAGCACAGAGGTTTCTCATGTGGAATGAAATTGGGTTGCAGATGAGAGTGCTCAGGATGTGCTATTACGTTTAACTCTGATTTAGGAAGCATACAACCAGCGATGATTCCAACCACCGGAAGTCAAGGAAAGAAAGTTCCTTACATGAAGTAGTGAGAACTGGCAACGGGTAAATTACTTGAAAAGAATCCCCAGCATCTCTGTCCCTGCTTTTCTAAACTTTATACTAAACCCATATTCTATATCGTGGTTAAAGTATTGGTAATAAAATAGATGAGTATCAAATTAAAAGAAAGTGATAGAAGAAGAAAAAAAAAATTCCGAAAGGTTAAAAAAAAGGAAACAACAAAAAAGCTATCTAAAGATAAAAAAGAAATGTACAGTGAAAAATATGATGCTAATTGTAGTTAATAGAATAAATGCCGTCAAAAAGACTTCTTCATCCTAACCCAAGACTTAGGACTTTGCAGATGACATTCAGTTAAAGACCTTGAGATGGAAAGAGTATCATGGATTCTCCAGGTGGTACATTATAATCACAAGGGTCCTTAAAAGTGAAAGGCAGGAGAGTGGGAGGGAAGCCAGGCCACGAGCCAGTAAGATACATGAGCGATCTCTGGAAGTTGGAACAGGGAAGGAAAAGATTCTACCGTCCATTAGACTTCTGACCTCCAGAGCTATGAATTGGGGTTTTTAAGGCTGTAAGTTTGTGGTCATTTGTTGCAGCAGCAATAGTACACTAATATACAAATTAATCTAAAAATGTGGACATTGATATAGAAAATTTTATAGAAAAACACAAACTACAAAAATAGCCAAAGAAGAAAATTTGTAAAAACCTAAGTAAAACTTTGCAATCAAATCAATTATCAATATCTATCCACTAGACCTTAACATATCCTAAGGAGTAAATATACATGCATAGAAAATGTATCCGATCCATTTTATGAAGCCCAAATAACTTATATGAAATATAAGTTTGAAAAATATGAAAATCAGAAAAAGAAAGAGAGATTATGGGCTGTAACATATTCATTTGTACATTCATTGATTTGCTTATGCATGTTAATCTGCTCAAATTTGTTAAATCATTAAAGAGTTTGTGCAGGCTAATTTGGGAAAGATAAGCAAAAAAGAAATAAATGATGTATATTTCAGATAGATAAGTGCCATGGAGAAAAGAATTGAGAGCAAAGAAACAGAGTAATGAACTGAGAAAGCCTTCTCCAGAAGTACCTTACCAGATAGCAAAATAATTAAAAATACAATGTTAAAAAACTGCAGGATATTAGTACAGAATGGCCAAATAGACCAATGAAATAGAACAGAAAACAGAAAAACAAACATAAACTTATGTCAGAATTTGATAAAAGAACTATCATTGCAAATATCAATCAATAAATGCTACTGGGAAAAGTTGATAATCCAGCTAGAGGAAAAATAAAGATACTTTCCTTCTTCATATCATATATAAAACCCATTTCAGATTAAAGATCTAAATATGAAATTAAGTATTAAAAACTTTCAGAAAAAAATTAAGCTAAAACATCATAACATCAGAGTAGGAACAGTTCCAAAAGTAAGAAGACTTAAGAAATAAAAGAATAAAAGAATTAGTGACAAATATGACTATTTTGAGGTTTTACATTTTTATACCAATAAGAAAACTTTCAGAAAAGGTATAAGCAAACCAAAGATTGGAATCACTCACAGAGTGAGACCTGGTGCTGCCCACCAGAAAGTGAAAGGTTTACAAGACCAGTTGGTCTTGAAAGGATAAAAAACAATGGTATAGTGCAGATTTACAATTGCCATGAAAAATATCTTACGAAATCAGTATCCAGAGCACCTACTCAGAGCTAAATTATTGTGATAGGTTAGCATAATAAAATGACATAATCTCAATTACTTTGCACGCTGACAAAACTCGAGGGAGCTTTCAAATGAAAGGTGGTGCCCCAGTCATGTTATATCCAATAAAACATTGTTTTGGGATACAATTTATTATGGTTTGAATATGAAATGTCCCCCACAGGCTGATGTTTTAAATGCTTGGTTCCCAGCTGATGGTAGTATTTGGGGGGTTTCTGAAACGTCAAGAGGTGGGACATAACCTGGAGGAGGAGGGTCACTATCTTACCCCTGGGCCTTTCCTGCCTTTCTCTCTGCTTTTTGTCTGCTGTGAGATTTAGAAGCTCCTCTGTCACATGCTTGAGCCATTGTGATGTCGTTCCCAAGCACATGGGACCAAGCAACCATTACTAAGGCCTTTCAAACTTAACTTGTTTCTGCAGGTATTTGATCACAGCAATGACATAGTTAACACACAATCACTGAAGTTTGCTCTGAGAATGAGAGAAGTAGGTGTCATAAAATCACTTAGGAATGCTATGATCTTGAAGTTTTTTACTATCTCTTTGTCATTTTCTTTCAAATGAACAACATTACACTTTATAATTTTCTTTTTGTCCTGGACACAGACCAAAAGACTGGTACTAATATTTACAAAAACACCTAAAAATTGACAAGGAAAAATAGCTTAATTGAGAAAAGATGAACAAAGAATAAAACCAAGCATTTCACCAAAGAGAAGACCTGTATGACCAGTGAAAGTATGGAAGGGTGTTTAAACTTACTAATAGATGGAAAAGTGTAAATTAAAATACAGATAGACTTGAACCTCCTATTAGACCAGTAAAAATCAAAGAAAATGACAATATCTAACTATTTGAGAGGGGAGGAAGAAACAAATCTCTCAGAACCAGTTTTGAAGGAGAAAGTAATTTGTCAATACCTTAAAACTTACATAACTTAAAGCTTATATCCTATGAAATCATGATCCTAGACCTAACTATGAAACCTACTTGGCGGGGGGGTGGGGGGGAGTGGGGGGGAGGTGACCCAAACAATGCATACACATGTGAATAAATGTAAAAATGATTTTAAAAAAATTAAAATCTAGTGGAAACTTTGCCTGTGGCACTAGGAAACCTCCACACTTATTTTAAGAACAATAAAAGGACAGAAACAATGCAAATATCAATCAATAGAGGAATGGAAAATTTAGTTATAGTGTAGTCACAAAAAAGAACTAAACTTAAATGTATTGAACTGAATCCCAGAAACATATCAGGAAAAAAGCAGGATTCAAGACCTAAGTAACTATGTCACCATTTGTGTAACTCTTAAGATATATACAAGGCAATATAAATTATATACATCCTGAAAAAAAAAAAGCAAATGGAAAAAACTACACATCAACTTCAGGATACCAGACATCCTAAAAAATAGAAGAATGAGAATAGGATGGGAAGAATCTTCTATAATAATTGCAGTATTTTATTTAAAAAGATTTCAGATAAAGGAACCCTTATACATTGTTGGTGGGAATGTAAATTAGTGCAACCACTATGAAAAACAATAAGGAGGTGCCACAAAAAACTGAAAATAGACCTAGCCTACAATCCAGTAATTCCATTCCTGGGAATAATCCCAAAGGAAGGTAAGCCAGGATACAATAGAGCCACTAGCACACCCATGTTTATTGCAGCACTATTCCTGTTAGCCAAGCTTTGGAAACAGCTCAGATGCCCCAAAACTGATTGAGTTAAGAAAATGTGATATATATACACAATGGAGTATTACCCAGTCATAAAGAAGAATGAAATTGTTTGCTGCAATAGACCATCATGT